GGGGGGGGGGGGGGGGGGGGGGGGGGGGGGGGGGGGGGGGAGAGAGAGAGAGAGAGAGAGAGAGAGAGAGAGAGGGGATGAATGTGTATGTGTGTGTGTGTGTGTGTTCGTTCGGGAAGGTGGGAACTGCCTTCCAGGTTATCCTGCACACGGTAAACAGGGACAGGCGCGGGGGCCCTAATTGGGCCCATAATTTCAGGATTTCATGCATCATTCTGGCTGAAAGGCAGTTAAAAATATTCTTTTAAAGGTTTGAGATAAAAGACATCCCGCCCCAGCTCATCCTTCAATGAATAACCCCACTGGAAGAGTCACTTCTTTTAGTAACTCAACCTAGATGTGGCCTCCTAGAGAATAAAGCGTGCGTTTCTTTCACAGCATCTTTGTGGAGAAGGCACTAGCCCTGTTTCACTGATACACAAATCTGTTATCCAGTAATTGTAGCGGGGCCCACTGAATTTCAGGCAGCGTGCTCAGCCCTTAAGCTACCAGAGCACTAAGATAGAATGCCCTGGGCACAATCCCGAAGAGAAAAGTGGTAAGGACAGTAAGAGGAGTTTTGACAGAGGCGGGCTTGTACTGGAGGTAGGGAAGGGAGGAGGGTAGAGAGCTTTGAGGAAGTTTTAAGCACCAAGCCTTGTGGTGTGTGTGTGTGTGTGTGTGTGTGTGTGTGTGTGTTTGATAGTTGAATTCTCCTAATAAACGCTGTGAGGTGAGTGGTGTACACACATTATACAGATGGATAAATGAGGCTCTGAGATCCTAAGATCTTACATGTAGTAAGTGGCCACATGGAAGTTTAAACTCTGGCCCATCAAGCTCCAAAGTTTAGGCACTCCTCACTGTGTATTCCATGCTTTTCCAGAGATGGTGACATCAGGGCAGTATTTTGAAGGATTGATGGGAGGTTGCTGCACGGAGCAGGAGGCAACAACTTGTGTATTTAAGTTCAGCTTCAGAAAATACCAGGATATCATGAGGAGGAGTGAAAGGCATGAGTGGAATAGGATGATGCCAGAATGAGGTTTTCAACAGCAAAACAGATAGGAGATTTCAACTGTAACTAATTACAGTGGGGCCTTGACTTACGAGTTTAATTCGTTCGGAGACCGAGCTCGTTAACTCAAATTACTCTATCAATTCAATGCCCAAAGGCATGAGTGGAATAGGTTGATGCCAGAACTAGGTTTTCAACAGTGAAACAGATAGGAGATTTCAACTGTAACTAATTACTGCATTTGGATTCTGTGACTTCCTACGAGTTCTTGAGTAAAAAACGCCTGATTCAGAGAAAAGAACAACCATGATTAGTTTGTTTCTGTAATACGGAAAGCCCATTGTCACATAACCTGCATGGCTGTCGCTGAATGTGATTTTCACTAGTGAGTCCTCTAATCAGAGGTGTTTTAAGATGGAGCCTAGAACCAGCTCTGTAACAGTGCTCTCTTCTGTGACAACAGCATCTTCCCCTTCTGAAAACATGCAGCGGCCAAGGTGAGACTTGATTCCTCAACACGTGCGAAGCTCATTCCTTTGCCTTAGTCACCTCCATCCTCTCCATTTCCCCCCCAGGTGCTGGTGATCGGGTGTGGTAACTCAGAGCTCAGCGAGCAGCTGTACGATGTGGGCTATCAGGATATTGTGAACATTGACATCAGTGAGGTTGTCATCAAGCAAATGAAGGAACGCAATGCCAACCGACGGCCCCAGATGAGCTTCTTGAAGATGGACATGACACAGATGGAGTTTCCTGATGCCTCTTTCCAGGTGGTGCTGGACAAGGGCACCCTGGATGCTGTCCTGACAGATGAGGAGGAGAAGACCCTGCAACAGGTGGACAGGATGCTGGCTGAGGTTGGCCGTGTCCTGCAGGTGGGCGGTCGCTACCTCTGCATCTCCCTGGCTCAGGCTCACGTCCTGAAGAAAGCAGTGGGTCACTTCTCCAGGGAGGGGTGGATGGTCAGGGTGCATCAGGTGGCCAGCAGCCAGGACCAGGTGTTGGAAGCAGAGTCTCGGTTTCCCCTGCCTGTCTTTGCCTTCATCATGACCAAGTTCAGGCCAATCCCTGGCTCTGCCCTTCAGATCCTCGAGCTGTGTGCTCAGGAGCAGGGCAAGCCTGTGCGGCTGGAGAGTGCTGAGCGGCTGGCCGAGGCGGTGCGGGAGCGTCAGCAGTATGCCTGGCTGTGTAGCCAGCTGTACCGCAAGGCCGGGCTGGGGAGTGTGTCCCTGGACTTGTGCAATGGGGACACGGGGGAGCCACGCTACACCCTCCACGTGGTGGACAGCCCCACTGTGAAACCATCGCGGGACAATCATTTTGCCATTTTCATCAGTGAGTTGGGATTGGTGCCTCTCTTCCCTGGAAGGGCTGGGCTGGGGCGTTGGTGGATGGGTATGCCTTGGCTGGTTTCATCTTGCAGGGATGGTCCTTTCAGAGGTTAGACTAGCCAAGGCATGAGGAAGAAACAATAGCAACTCTCCAGCTACCTTAGATTTGAAGCTTATTTCTTCTCATCTTCCATCGCAAAGCCTTGGTGAAGTGGGAGAATGGGGTTGGTAGGCAGGAGAGAAGTAATACAGATGCATTTAGGCAAGTCACACGCTGTAGAGATGGTAGTTACTTTGTAATGTTGAGGGGTGGGAGCTGTCCAGTCTCAGGTCTGTAGCCTTTAAGCTGTGGGACCTGGGGAAATTGCCGTGTTTCTCTGCTGAATTAGAGAGACAGTACAGAGCAGTGGCTAAAAAAGGTCAGCTCTGGAACCAGATGATTTGGGTTCCAGTTCTGTCCCAGTCACATCTTGGTGATGTGACATTGGACATGTTATTTGTTTTCTGAGACTCAGTTTCCTCATTCATAAGTGACATCATAACTACCTTGTGTAGTTGTGAGAAGTGTCAAAGCTCTTAGGAAGGTGCCTGGCACATGATAGCTGCTCTATGGACACTAGTGTTATTATTGAAAGGGGTAAACGATACCAGATTTACTAGTACATTAATAATGATAAAAAAAAGAGAATATGAGAGAATGCTTTCAAAAATAAAATATTTTAGATAAATGCAAGGTGTCGATATGGTCATGTGGAAGGTGCCTGGCACATGATAGCTGCTCTGTGGACACTAGTGTTATTATTGAAAGGGGTAAATGATACCAGATTTACTAGTACATTAATAATGATTAAAAAGAATATGAGAGAATGCTTTCAAAAATAGAATATTTTAGATAAATGCAAGGTGTCGATATGGTCATGCTGGCCACTTGTTTCCAGATGACTGCGCCATTTTTCCAAGTATTCCATCATCCTACCTGCACATGTGGGAGCAAACATGTGCCTGGACGTGAGCATGGAGTCTGGGGCTGGGCTGCCTGGGTTTGAGTTCCAGCTTTGCCATTTATTAGCTCTGTGACCTTGGGCAAATAATGTAACTTCTGTCTCAGTTTCCTCATTTATGCAATGGGACTAATAATACCACCTGCATCCCGGGCTATTGTGAATATTCTATGAGTTTCTATTTGTTAACTGCTTGGAATAATGCCTGGTATGTAATAAGTGTTGGTAGTACTGCTATTTTTTCCCTTGCACACGTGCTCACACTTCTTATTCCCCCTTGGTCCTGCCTCATGTCTGATGGCAGCTTTGCTCTGGGCCTTGTGCTCCAGGGACTCGTAGCCCCTCAGTGGGTCACAGTTGGAAGGGATTCTGGGCCTGGGCAGGGCCTGGCTCTCTGCCATGTGGTCATATCGGTAGTGGGCTTGCACACTCTTCCCGGGGCTCCCTGTCACCAGGCGCCTGTTTCCAGTCCCCCAGGGTCGGGAGACCGAGTGGCTCTTTGGCATGGAGGAGGGCCGGAAGCAGCTGGCGGCCAGCGCTGGCTTCAGGAGGCTGATCACAGTGGCCCTGCACCGAGGTCAGCAGTACGAAGGCATGGACAGCATCCAGGCCGAGCTATCGGCCAGAGTCATGGAGTTGGCCCCGGCCGGGATGCCCGCCCAGCAGCAGGTAAGGAAGCTCGGGCAGCAGCTTTCACAGGTCTCTGGAGAAGTCACACTAGCAGCTGGGAAGGCAGAGGGTGTCCTGAAAGAAGCTAGGGCAGGGTCTGTGACCGTAGTCGGCTCCTGGAGGGCATGTCAGCAGCTAAGAGCTGAGTGGGCATCAGTCACATTCCTTTGCCCCAGGCAGTGTGAGGAAGGCCAGCGGTTGCCGATATTGAGACCCACAGGCACATCTGGGTCTGGGGTTGGGAGGTCCTCTCAGACCCACAGAGATGGCACGAAGGAGATGCTCCAGCTCTTGCAGGCTCCAGCTCTTCATTCTGTGAATGACTTGGACTGTGTATTTATTTCCTCACTTGTGCACAAGACTCTCTCGACCTTTTTGCTGCTGCTGCTTTTTTTTTAAATCTTTATTGTTGAAAGTATTAAATATGTTCCCTTTATTCCCCCATTGACTCCTTCTAGCCCACCCTGCCCCTTTTGCTTCTTGGAGCCATCATTATCTGAGGGTAAATGGATACGTTCAGGATATGAGCATTGCCGGTCTGGTGTTTTACTGGGAAGGAAGCTGGAGGTTTTTTGCCAAAGTGGTGATATGGAATTACCAGTTGACATGGTCTGTCTGATGCCATCCTGGTCCCAAGGCAGGGTAATGGGCAGGTGACTTTATCCTTCTTGACAGAGGGGAAAGCCAGGGTACCTGGAGGCTGGGTGCTGTAGTAACAGATCTGAAAAAAAGAGTAGGCTCCCGATTCAGAGCCATCATTATCTGAGGGTAAATGGATACTTTCAGGATATGAGCATTGCCGGTCTGGTGTTTACTAGGAAGGAAACTGGAGGTTTTTTGCCAAAGTGGTGATATGGACTTAGCAGTTGACATGGTCTGTCTGATGCCATCCTGGTCCCAAGGCAGGGTAATGGGCAGGTGACTTTATCCTTCTTGACAGAGGGGAAAGCCAAGGTACCTGGAGGCTGGGTGCTGTAGTAACAGATCTGAAAAAAAGAGTAGGCTCCCGATTCCCAGCCTGGGTTCTGCCCACGAGGCTGACCTGTGCTTACGGAGGAATGTATGGAGTCTTCCTGGTAGACTTGGGGTTGGTGCCCCTCGGAGAGACCCAGCTCCTGGGGGAGGTTCTTTGTGACCTTCTCTCACCAGTGCCTACCTCTCTGCAAAGTCAGGAATCCCTGGTGATTATCACATATTCATGTAGGTCTTTGAAAAGCAATAGATGTAAAGACTGGGAAAGGAAACAGAACAGTTTAGGGGAGAAATGTATTTTTCTCCTAATTTTTTTCTTCTGTTTAGAATAATGGGAGAAAAGGATGAGAATGGCTAAGGGAAGGGAGACATCTCTTCACGTTTGGAGTGGGTGCTCTCCCCTGGATTTCGTTATCTCATCCCCGTTCATATTCTTTCTCTCATAATTATAGTCTCTTCCCAAGGGTTCTCTCTGGCTTCGATTGTCCTGGATTGTTGAAAGTGCTTTAGAGGATTACTCTTGAGAAACTCCTATTTTTCTTGGGGGAGAACCAACTGCATTTTATAATGGTTTTTGGGGGGATCAGTTAGTTTTCAGAAAGGTAAATTAAGCCTTAATGAGATCAAGTCAAAGGCCCCAGAGAGGAACTGGAACAGAAGGGCACACCTGCGGAGTTCTACTGCCCAGAACCAAGGCATGGATTCCTCAGATATACACAGGGAAGGGGGTCTACTTTCTCACGTTTCTTAGCTGAGCTGGTGGTTTGACCACATCTTTGCTGTACCTTCAGGTGCCTTTCCTGTCCGTGGGTGGGGACATCGGGGTGCGGACCATTCAGCACCAAGACTGCAGCCCCTTGAGTGGCGACTACGTCATCGAGGACGTGCAGGGGGATGACAAGTGCTACTTCCGGCGGCTCATCTTTCTCAGCAATAGGAACGTGGTGCAGTCAGAAGCCAGATTGCTGAAGGCTGTGTCTCACAAAGGTGAGGTGTCAGCGGCACACTGGTGGGACCCACATGGACACAGCATGGACTCTTGATTTCAGGTGGTCAGAAGGACCTGGGAGTGTGGCCGAGATGTAGGACAGACCTGGGTACCTGTGACCAGAGGCACATGGCCAAGTGGGTTGTCCTCTTAGACCACTTGGGCTGGGCACGTTGGTGGGACCCACATGGACACAGCATGGATTCTTGATTTCGGGGGTCAGAAGGACCTGGGAGCATGGCCGAGATGTAGGACAGACCTGGGTACCTGTGACCGGAAGCGCATGGCCAAGTGGGTTGTCCTCTTAGACCACTTGGGCTCTTAGGGTGTGAGTGGCCATAAGCGGAATAGAGGTCTGTGTTCTGTTCTTGAGCCAACCCTGGCTGTGAAATGATAAGGAGCAGGGCTAATGGATTACCAAGTAAACATGATCATCACTTTAATGCCTTTAGTTTAAAAGCCACTTGCTTTACAAGTTCCACATACATCCAGGTACTAATTCAACAGGGCTCTGAGGTGAGCCATTTCTGCTGTCTGAATGGTACAGTAGAAAGGTGATAGGCATTGGAGACAGTCCCGGGTTCAAATCCAGGTACAGTAGAAAGATGATAGGCATTGGAGACAGGCAGTCCCAGGTTCATATCCAGGCGGCACTACCTACTGATTCTGGACCTAATTATTAACTCTTCAGATTCTCATGTGTTCCATCTGCCAGTAATTGGAATTAAAGGGCTGTTATAGGACCTAAAAGAGTAAAAACCCTAGGATAGCAGTTGGCATAGAGGAGGTAATTGTAAGTCCTTCCCTACAAGAATTTATGAAGATTCTGTTAGTGGCCTTATATTTCTCGTAGGAGAGGTACCAGGACTCCTAAGTTGAGTTTTCCCAGGCTTTGGGGTATCATGTTCTATCTGCCAGTAATTGGAATTAAAGGGCTGTTGTAGGAGCTAAAAGAGTAAAAACCCTAGGATAGTAATTGTCACAGAGGAGGTAATTGTAAGTCCTTCCCTACAAGAATTTTTGAAGATTCTGTTAGTGGCCTTATATTTCTCATAGGAGAGGTATTAGGACTCCTAAGTTGAGTTTTCCCAGGCTTTGGGGTATATCTTTACCACTTTCCTTTTCAGACTCTGACATGTAACCAGTTCAAGTTCCTGCACATTTAACGCTTGGGTTTGTGAGTGAGATCAAGTCAGCTGCAGCCCACTGCCCCTGGTGCTTTGCTCTCTGAGGACCAGTGGACTAAGCACAGGACTTCATTGTCTCTCTTCATTTAGCCCAGAAGAAGCGGAAAAAGGACAGGAAGAAGCAGTGGCCGGCTGGTACTCCAGAGGAGCCCCCTGCAGCCCAGGGGCAGTCCATCGATAAGAGCTACCTGTGCTGTGAACACCACAAAGCCATGATCGCCGGCCTGGCCTTGCTGAGAAACCCCGAGCTGCTCCTAGGTGAGGGGGTTGTCACTGCTTCCCCCAGGGAGGAGCGTGGGAGATGACAGAGCTAATCAAAGGAGCTGCTTGTGAATAAGAGCAGTGATCACAGACCGGCAAAAGCATAAACATTCATATCTTTCTCATTCCCAACCTGCTTCTAAGTTAACGAACATCCAAATAACTTTTTCCTCACACTGAAGTTGTCATGTTGAAATGGCCATACATGTCGAAGTCTGAAGTTTTTTCTTCTACTCATTTATTTAAAAATTAAGGTGTGAAGTACATCCAGGGAGATAGGTAAAGTACACAGATCTTCAGCTGTTCAGCTTGATGAATTCTCACATATGTATATACCCACGTAACCAGATGGAGCCTTTAAAAACCATGTCTCTGGGCCCTGGCCGGTATGGCTCCGTTGGTTGAGCATTGTCCTGTGCACCGAAAGGGCACTGGTTCGATTCCTGGTTGGTCAGGGCACATACCTGGGTTGCAGGCTCAATCCCCAGTAGGAGGTGTGCAGGGGGGCAGCTGATCAATGTTTCTGTCTTACATTGATGTTTCTCCCCCCCCTCCCCTTCTTAACTCAATAAAAACACATTTAAAAAATAAAAATAAATAAAAACCATGTCTCCAGAGAAATGCCTTTGCACTTAAGGAGAATTTCTCTCCAGAGAAATGCCTTTGCACTTAAGGAGAATTTCTGGCTTTTCGGTAATGCATTATATGATTCTAGCTTGGATTCCTACTTAAAAACCCACATTACAGGCAGTGCAGTCAGCCTTCTCACTAATGACAGGTTTGGATCTGACCACAGTGGTGAAAGCGGTCATATTTCTGTCTGCGTTAGAGCCGTCCTCACTCACAGTCCCTGCGTGTGTCCTCTGGCCCATTGTGGCATTGATCTATGTGGAATCCACTGCCTTGTGATCATGAACCAGGTGTTGGCCATTGTAGACCCCCATTTTGTAGAGGGGTCCAATAAGGCTTATGGTGGGGACGCTTGGTGACGAGTGCTTTGGGATTTTTAAGGGGCTACAATAACACACTGGTCATCTTCTGGATCTGGAAAGGGAAGGATTGTGAGGCCAGGATTGAGTTTTCAGATGTCAACATAACTCCTAAATTTTGGGATGAGACAGGGAGGCCAGGCCCCTAAATCTGGTATCCCCTGGGCGGAGCCAACAATTTCACTCCCTCTTTTGCCCTCCTGAGGCTGGTACCAAACTTTCCAGTGAGCCGATGGTAAAATGATGCTTTCTTCCTGTATTACAGAGACCCCGCTGGCTTTGTTGGTGGTAGGCCTGGGCGGGGGCAGCCTCCCCCTCTTTGTCCACGATCATTTCCCAAAGTCCCGTATCGAGGCTGTGGAGATCGACCCGTCCATGTTGGAAGTGGCCACCCAGTGGTTTGGCTTCTCCCAGAGCGAGCGGATGAAGGTCCACATTGCAGATGGCCTGGACTATATTACCAGCCTAGCGGGAAGAGAAGGTACTGCTACCGGGGAACTTGGGGGGTGTCAAGGGAAGATTGATCCAAGGTTGTCAGGCCTGTGAGGGCCTCTAGACTCCATCTCTGAGAGGGTGGCATCAGCACCATCCTAGTCTTTTTCCTGTTGACTTGTTGACATTTTTTTCAGTAACTGCAGAGTGCCAACCATATGCTTAGCTCTGTGCTAGGGGCTAGGGTCTAGCAAGTACTACGGACTGTCTCCTGACCTGATGGTGCTAACAGACAGTGGGCTTTTCTTTTGACCCTGCAACATTAACACCTCCTCACCACCTTAAGAAACCTCCAGGATGTAGCTGGGTGAAGAAAGATGAAGAACAGTTGAGGGTTGTGTTGGGAGGTGTTTTTTCTAAAATCAGCTGGAAGTGAAGCCAGAAATAGAGCAAAACACTACGAACTGTTTCCTGACCTGATGGCGCTAACAGACAGTGGGCTTTTCTTTTGACCCTGCAACATTAACACCTCCTCACCACCTTAAGAAACCTCCAGGATGTAGCTGGGTGAAGAAAGATGAAGAACAGTTGAGGGTTGTGTTGGGAGGTGTTTTTTCTAAAATCAGCTGGAAGTGAAGCCAGAAATAGAGCAAAACAGCATTCATGCCAACCACTGGTTCCAAATCTCGGACGTTTGGCAGTGTCTGCACGTGTTGTTGGTTTTCATAACCATTGGGTAGGGGTGCTTCTGGCATCTGGTGGGAGAGACCAGGGATGCTGCTGAACTTCCTACGATGCAGAGGACAGCCACCGACGACAGTGAATTGTCTGACCCCTAATGTCAGTAGTGCCGAGGCTGAAAAGCCCTGAGGCAGATGCTGCTCAGTGGGGATCCCGACAGCCCTCCAGCTTCTGGGTTTAAGGTTCCGTTTGTTCTAATATTTCATATCCCAGACTTAGGACAGAAGTCCTATTCATGTTCTGCAGGAGGTCCCTTGATCCTTCTGCAAGTTCATAGATAGGCTCCTGGTGACTTATGCTTTCTGGAGCCTGAGTCCCTTGGGGAAAAGTCAGGTTGGTTCAGTCCTAAGTGAACCTGGGGGACTCAGGCCCACCTTTCCTGGTCTGCTCGTTCCGTAACTGATGCCTGGTTCTCATTGGACCAGAATCTCTTCCAGTAAGGGTGTGGCAAACCAGAATGACATTTTGGTGCTGGGATGAGTATATTTGGTGCTGAGATGGACAGATGCTGCCTTAGTTTAACTGCAAACTGACCATATTAAGAGTTTCATAGGTTCCCTCTCTGAGGCTAGAGTCATTCTGGGGGCTCAGGCCCAAGATAGCTAATAACATGTGAAGCATTTAAAACAGTACCAGGCGTGTGGTAGGTCAGCCCTTAAAGGCTTAGATCCCTGCTTGTCCAGATCAATGATTCTCAGCTCTGACTGCACTGATAATTACTTGGGGAGCTGAAGAGAAATGCCAGGCCTCCCGGGAGGTTTTTAACTCAGCTGGGCAAGAAAGGAGCCAAGGTTCTGTAGGTATTTAGAAGCTTCCCATGGTGACTAGAATGTCCTGTCAGGATTGACAGCCACTGGGACAGATAGACTCTTAACCAAGTAAGTACCCTGCAGAATGGGCTCCAGAAGATGAGACCAGGCCCCGTCTTTAAGGTGGGGTTCTCACAGCAGAACCTTGGTGATGATTCCTCTGGATGGTGATGTCAGTGGCACATCCTCCCTGTTGTCCTCTGGCTCAGCCACCTGTGCCCACTACAGGTCACAGGAGAGATGCAGTGTAAGAATGTAAATGGCCTTATTTTACCCAACAAAGACAAAAAGTTTGCTTCTCTTTCCCAGCACGGCCTCAGTATGACGTGATAATGTTTGATGTGGACAGTAAGGACCCAACACTGGGAATGAGTTGTCCACCCCCAGCATTTGTGGACCAGCCCTTCCTGCAGAAGGTCAAGAGCATCTTGACTCCTGAAGGTATGAGAACGAAAGGTCAGGAAGGGGGGATGGATGGGTCCTTCAAAAATATTTTTTTTTATAATGAAAAATGCACATATCATAAATGTGTAACTTGATCGATTTCCTTCCTTTGAACAACCACTTACCAGCACTGAACACACAGCATTTCCAGCGCCCTAGATGTCCACCTCTCACCTCCTCTTTGGGATAACCACTCTCCCAACTTTTACCAGCACGCCTTAGTCTTCCCCATTTTTGTTCTATATAAATGCAATAATCATACAGATTGTAGTCTTTAAGTTTCTGTTTTCTTTCACTCAACTCGATGCTTGTGAGATTCATCCATAGTATTGCGTTTCCATTGTTCCTTTCATTGCTGTGTAGCGTCATTGTGTGGCTGTAGCGCTCAGCCTCCCCCTCTGCTCTTGGTAGTCGGGCTGTTTTGCTCTTGGGTGCTTTTATAAGTAGTGCTGCCGTTAACATTCGAACGATGCCTTTTGGTGAGACATGGGTGGGTCTGTTGGGCATATACCAGTACGAGGGCTGTAATCGCTGGATGGTAGGTGGAGCGTATGCTCAGCTTTCGCAGATGCTGCTGCCGGTTTTACAAAGTGGTTGTAGTCATTCACACTCCCACCACCACGGCAGCGCTAGCTCCCAGTCACATTCCTCCCAC